CTGGGAGCCAAAAAACAAAGCTAGACTAGACTCTGTGTCTCAGGTTAAAATCATGTTGACCTGTGAGGATATGAAACAGCAGCACATTAAAAACAGGGTCACATTACTCTCTCTCACTCTATTTCCCTCTGATGCTAGCTGCAATTTAGCTTCAGCTGGGACAGAGAAACAAATGCACACACTCACACACACACAGACACACACACACACACACACACACACACACGGATGCCGCGTGTTAATCTAAGTTAAAAGCTAAATGGATACATAATGCCTCAACTGAGAGCATTATCCTTTTCTAGAGAAATCCTGTTCAACAGCAAATAGTCACACGCACACACGCACACACACACACACACACACGTACTGTATACATAAACTCACAGCTCCCTTATCAGATGCTAATGGCACAGGTTGAACATTAATGTGATGTGGATTATACACAGCACATCTCAAGCAGATATTTGCAGTAAATCAGTAGATTCACTCTGTAACGTTTAAGCTGAAACTTACCAGCCACTTCTAAAGCTTTACAGCCTCTTGGCTTCCCCAGAGCCCCAGGGTTTCATCAGTGTTTATAGTAATAGCCTGACATTTGACCTAACATAATATAAAGTATTACTGCATACAGTGGCTCTGATTAACTGCTGAACTGTCCTAAAAAGTCCTCTGCTGTTCTTAAAGTTTACATCACAAGTTTGCTTCAATAACTGTATTTGTTGTAGCAAAATTCAACGTTTGTGTGAATAGTTAGCATCATCTGTGTTTTAGTGTGGTACTTAATGGCTGATAAAAGGAGGGTTATTCTAGCATAAGAGCAAATCAAGTATAAATGACAAACTTTTGTTGTTTAACCTTTCAATCCTGTACTTAGGTCCTCTCTCCAGTAAAACCTTACATAAGTGCATATACACAGCCCAAGTCAAATTATACACAGTAAACAATCAGTTGTGTTTTAATGATAACTCTATGCACAAATCAATTTAAAAACATCATACTGGTATTGCAAATGTTTTATTTAAAGTCAAATTTTCACCTACAACTAATTCATGATAGCCTGTGTAGGGGAACCATGTGGAAAAGCAATTTTAAAAAGGAATGACTGCACATTTTCAGGGAATCTCTCAAAGAGCAAAATGACACCGTTGTACTGGATCACACACATTAAAAGCACCACAGGTAGTAACGAAGGAAAAAGCAGAGACAGAAAGATGAGGACAGCTGAGGACAGTCAACACAGACAACCTCTGTCCACTGTTAGCCGTGTTTGGAGGAGAGGGCTTCCCACTCCAACTGATCATTATTTATTATGAGGTTTGATATGGTGATAGATTACAAGCCAATAACAGAGCAGATATTGGACAACCAGGACAGAAGAAATGGATGACCCAGTACGAGCCAGGTAATGCAGGACGAGACAAAGGGTGCCGTGTGGATTTGGGGATTTTTTTTAGAGTGCTCTGCTCTTGTGTTTCAGACCTCTGTGAGTGTAGTGCATAAAAGGGAAGTATGTCAGCGGGCTGGATTATTTCAATAATCCATCAGATCATCCTGCAGCCTGCCACCCTGAACAGCCATCTTTAAATAGATGGCTGAGATGAGAGGTAGAGGATGGGTCTGCAAAGACAGCCTGGCAGGGAAAAGAGAAACCAACGGTGGACGGGCGGGGTGCAGCAGGTAGAACAGTTTAAGAGGCCAAAATGAAGTAACGAGCACCACCACTCAGGGCTAAAACCTTTTGGAGATCACAAACGTTTTAGAGTGTGCATGCAAGATGTAACTAAAAAGAATATAAACAGACATGTTTTCCATATTAGCTTTAGGTCGGGGCTCAGAGTGTGTTCTTTACATTAGAAACAGTAACTAGAAAAATAACCTCAACAGAAAAACGTCAACATCTAAGAAGATAGCAGAGAAGCCCTATCTGCTGATGAAAAGCTACTCAGCAGATAAAAATGCTCACTGCATCTAAGATCATAGTCTGCGCTCCAGTTTCAAAATGTTTCTATTCCATCGTAGCTTCAAGATACTACAGAACTACAGAGCTCTCCAATCTGTAGTTGTCTGTTAGCCCATTATATTTTGTCTTTGGTCCCACTTAAAACTACATGGCAAAAACACCTAGACCTTAAATTCAGTAATGAGAAGTGGGGCTTTCTTTATCAGAACATCTTTGTTTCATTGTTTTGTTTATGTAAGATGTACCCCAACTCACCTTTAGATGTCTTTGTTATTGAACATGTACTGGAACAATCATCGATACTGGAGTAAGAGCTGAGAGCTTAAGATTACAACATTATTATGCTTATTATCACAACACTAGAGCCTACTGTATATTGGAGAAGATACACAATAGTGTGTATATTAAGATATCCCTCATTTCTATATATTTTGCAAGGAAAATGGGAAATTGGTACGAGTTACATTAACATCCATCCATCCATTCACGTCCACTTATCCTTTTCAGGGTCACGGGGGGCGCTGGAGCCTATCCCAGCTGCCATAGGCGAGAGGCGGGGTACACCCTGGACAGGTCGCCAGTCTGTCGCAGGGCCAACACACAGGGACAGACAACCATTCGCACTCACATTCACACCTAGTGACAATTTGGATTATCCAATTAACCTATCCCCACAAGCTGCATGTCTTTGGACGGTGGGAGGAAGCCGGAGTACCCGGAGGGAACCCACGCAAACACGGGGAGAACATGCAAACTCCACACAGAAAGACCCCGGCCTGATGCTGGAATTGAACTCAGGACCTTTTTGCTGTGCGGCAACAGTGCTAACCACCGTGCCACCGTGCTGCCATGCAAATGTTAATAGAAAGAAGGTGGTATGGCCGCCTTTATTCCATATTTGCACATTAGATGTCAAGGAGATGTAAGTAGAAGTGACTCAAACGCCAGACCCCAAGTGAACGCCAGTGCATTTATTTACAATGACTCTTAAATACCAGTTCAGAAAGGTCAAAATAGGAACAGTACAGGCTCTTGAGGGTTTCCTCAAAATCCACACAGAATCCAATCCTCTGCCAAAGCCCACCTATCATGGTCCGTGGGAGCATCTGTGGGGAGTTGTCATCAGGATGGTGCACTGGCTACTCTCTTGGGCGGAGCTGCCTGCCTCACACCTGAGCCTTATTTCACTGTTAACCACAAGGGACTATTTAAACCAGCGCAACCGGCTACTCATGTTGTTTAGTCTCCGTACCGTCCTGTTCTGGATTCAAGGCTCACTTCCTTCGTTGCCATTTCCCTGGCCCTGCGTACTACTGTGGGTCCAATTGCGGTGTCTTAGAACAGCCTCTCCCATAAGCTGTTCCCACTTCCTCCGGCTACTGCATTACCCCTGTGTTTCCTCGTGTTTTTGCCCGACCCCCTCTGGAAATAAAGTATTGGATATAGTTCGCAACCAGTGTATTGAGTCTGTTTTTGGGTCCCGCTTCCGTGCAAATTTCAGTTCATGACTCCACCTCGCTTGATGGGAATCTATTTATTTTGCGGTTTGCAGATAGGAAAACTTCTCCAATGCCAACTTTATAGCCAGCAGCTCCCGGTCACTAACACTGAAGACACATGGATGCATGGATGGATGCATCTTACCCAAATCTTGCTGCGAGAGAACAACTCCAGGATCTGAGATGTCCACTTCCACAATAAACTGTTCACTCAGATTGGGTTGTACAAGAACAACTGCTGTGGGTGAAGAGCTGCTTCAGCTTGTCGAATGTGGCTCGGGCTGCAGAATTCCACTGAAACATGTGCCTCGGAGAGGTGAGAGTAGTTAGCCTTGATCAGTCTACCACGGCCTTAACATTCACCAGGTCAGCCTTCATTTGCCCTCTCTCAACAGTGAAGCCCAAGAAAGACACAGTCAGCATGAGGCACATTGTTCTCCCTTTACACAGATGCATTGGATGGCCAGACAGACATGTTTCTCATGCTCCTGCAGGGGCTTTGGGAAAATCAGTATATCACCAAGGTACACAAACACAAAATGATTAATGAAGTCCCTTAGGACATTATTAACCAGGACCTGAAACACAGCTGGAGCATTTGTCAAACCAGATACTCAAAGTCTCAGGATGCATACTAAACACTATTTTCCACTCATGTCTTTTGGGTTGGAAGACTACAGTTTTGTGACGATAGTGCCGCCTTGAAAGAGTCCAAATGCTGAGGTGAGGAGTGGTAAGGTTTTTTTTCCTGTAATCTTGTTCATGCTGTGGAAATCTATGCAGAGGTGAAGTGTTTCATCCTTTTTCTTGATGAAGAAAAACCCAGCACCAAGGGGAGATGACGATGGAAGGATAATACCAGCAGCAAGACTCTGTGGTACATTTCTTCATGGCTTCTTGTTGGGGTTTAGACAGACTATAAAAGTGGCTGGTGGGCAAAGGTGCTCCGGGTAGGAGGTCTAAATTTTATCCCTCTCTGTAATTAATAAAAGCTTTGAGTGACTAAATTTGGGAATTGATGGTGATTTTACCCAGAACCATGAGCTGGAGTAGGAAGAAGTTATCAGAAAGATGTCAGAATCTACACCGTGCCAGACACAGCCTTTCGGACGCACCAGAAAAGTTGCTGCAAAGGCGCTTTTGTTACCGCAATACAGACAGACACCAGCCACGAAACATTTTCTCCGCGTCTGTGGATACAGCTGGGCCTGACCAAGCTGAATCTGGCTGCTTCCTCTAGGTTGGATCGTTCTGTCAAGGAGACGTAAGTAGAAGAAGGATTCAAATGCAGGGCTCCAAGTGAACGTCAGCTCATTTCTTTACAGTGACTCTTAAACAGAAAGGTAGTGAACAGTAGTAACAGTCCGGTTTCCTCAAAGTCCTAACACTATCCAATCTTCTCCCAAATCCACACAAGAACCAGCTCACTACTTCACATCTTGAAAGGTAATCCTGGGCAACCACAACAGCAAGACTAGGAGACATGCTGCACTGTTTCTCTAGCCACGACCCTGTGAAGACTGAGTCTCTGTTGCATCTTTATGAAGCAACCAAACAAGGTCATCAGGAGCAGGTGTGTGATTGACGCCAGGTGTGTGGGAGCCAGAAGGCAGGTAACCAGCCATGTCATGACACACACACAACAGTTTTGACCATTGGCTGAAATACACACCCAAACCATTATAGAGCCTCCACTGTGTTTTACAGATGGCAGTAGACTCATACTGTTAGATCTTCTCTCAGCCCTTTGTCAGGTCTTTGTTGGATTTTTTCCTTGGACACGACTTTCAGACACGGTTTATCTGCTGTAGATAGTTGCCACTTTGTTTTCCCTCCACTTGTTCAGTTTCCTCAAAGCACACACTGCACACCAAGTCACACCAAGACATGCCAGGTTTTCAGCTAATAATAACTCTTTAGGAAATTATTTTATGTCTGTTAGTTTTGCTTTCGCTCAGAAGGCGAGTCCCAAAATTAGACGAAACTCTCCAACAGCTGT